TCTCGTTATCAGTTTTATCAGAAAACGTGCCGCTTTCTTGGGATCAAATTATAAAATGATAATGATGGAGCCAATGCAATACTTCCTGGGCTCGATTCCTGTTTGGGAACACTAGTAACAAAGGGCACTTGGTAGTTAACCAATACGTTTTTGTGGTGAAAATGTAGTTGGGGGGTGCCAGTGCCCTTTTGTGCTCTGCGTCTTTTCATTTCTTACCCCATCTAATCATCTCACCCATTCCGGAGTTCCTCCCCTTCTAAAAGTAAGGGAAGGAGCTCCGGGGTGGGTGAATCAGTTGGTTGTTCAATTCTTACCCCATCCCAGCTTTTTGCACAAGATAATCATCTCTCCCACTCCAGAGCTCATCCCCTAACTTTTAGAAGGGGAGGAATCCATCTCTGCGACCTCTATGCACTCTACCGCCGGTGTCAGGGACGCAGAGCACAAAAGGGCGCTGGCACCCCCCAACTACATTTTCACCCGTTTTTGTAAACAAATTTCAACACAGCTCTATAGTTCTTCAGTGTAGACGTATTCTTTACCAAAACCGTCATGGAGTACAGGGAAGTGTTAGAAACTCGTGGTGGACGACATTTCACTAACTACCCTTGTGTCATTGAACTACGAAAGCACCATCGGACCCAGACTGTAGGGTATGGCGGTGAAATGGCTTCACCTTACAGTAGGTTCTCTACCCTTTACTCCCGATCTCCAGATATTGATCAGTTTTTATAATTTTTGAAAAAAAATATGAAGAACCTATAGAAGTATACCTATGTGCTCCTGAAACTTATGCCTCTGAACTTATGGCCATACATTCCTTTAAATTGTGAAATACCTTTTTACAAAAAGTACTGATGCCTTACTGGGTTCCATACAAGATTCCAGAGAAAGATTTGCAAATCTCCTTTTGTACAGTCTTTTACATTTTCGAGGTCATCAAAGGGCATGCAGGGCTCGAGCACGTGAACAGGCAACGATTGAAGGTCGAACTAGTAAGTATGTAGCTGGAGTTACTTCTTCTATGCACTTGAGTTGTCAATTTGAGGGGAGTTGTCGACCTCACTGCACTTTAGGGGTTTTCACTGGTTCACTAATTTCTAGCTACTTTTAACCAAAGCGATGAAAAATCGGGGTGATTCCCTTTCGGTACATATGTAACCCTTTATTGACCAACAAGATACCATCGATCAGGTCAGGAGCATCTCTCATAATACGATCTAGACTAACTAGTGTTTGATATGAGAAAAAATCGAATTTTAATCAGTAAGTGAGAATAATTCGTGTTAGAGAGCAGGGAAACGTTTCCATTGATGATTGCACCTCAAGGACTGCTTCTCAGCTTCATAGTGCCGACTTCATCGGGTTCCTATCAAAGAGGTCACCTATAGCGATCCTATTGCACAGATCGGTTGTACTTACTTTGTTCTTCATGCCGAAATAAGGGTTATATCATTGTATTACGGAGGAAGGCTCGAAAAATCGGGAGGCAAAGTTATGGTCGTGAAGAACGGCACCATTTAGTCTCGAAATTCTCAGCACTAGGTGTAAGGTAATGTTTCGGAATACTCCCACTGACATCTTTCACCCTCGGACAAGTTATCGCACCCTCCGATTTCCATTCTCAAAAAGGGGTTGGTTCATGTAGAGAACCGTATTTCTGTGTAACTCTTTGGGTATTTTGCTGGCATTGTCCTTTGTGGGCAACTCATAACGACTCAGTGTTCATACCAAGGCCATAAAAACCTGTTGTTCAAATCATGACAAAAAATTTAGCACTTACAGCATAGCCATAACAATCCTGGGGATGAATTTGTTACAAAATTTACTCTTATAAAGTATAAAAGGACAAAGTTTTTGGGTTAATCAATCCCGTCCGAGGGATGCGTCCCCGCACTCGACTTCCATTTAGGATCGTAGTGGCGTAAAGAGTTGTATGTGGCCTGTACAATGACTTGCGGTGGCCAGCCGATGTACCAGTCAGTGCTTTTATCCTCCCAAACGAGTCTGGTACTAATTCACCGACCCCGGAGGGATGGAAGGCTTGGGTGGCCTAGGCGGACTTACTCTCATACCGAAAAGTTTGCCCAGCTCTGGGATCTCAGTCAGAGGGGGAAATCCCCTTTTAACGACCATATTCGAAGAGTACTACATATGCGTACAGTTCTTCCTATTTCTTCCCCTTTCCCAATTTTCCTCCCATCCAAGGGCCGCCCACGTGAGTTCCTTGCCACCGTTTTGATACATCCATGACCTAAGCATCCGACCATCCACGTGAACTTTCGTGCCAGTAGAGTACGGTAAGAAAGATCGCTACATCGCGGTACCAAGACCTTTGAAGAAGTTTCTATGAATGAATTCGAAGACCTCTGCGGAGTGACAGTTCTGCTGTTTTCTTCTTTCTTGATCAAATCCGTCTTCCCTCGGTCGGTTTCAAATGGAGATTATCGCTCAATCATCGTCACAGCAAAAAGAGTTGTCGCAGTGAAAGTTTTGAACTAGTTATTCTGAACTGGTTTTGACTATGATCGAGTTTTCCTGGACTGGTTATTTTCAGTGGAGGCCATCTTTTTAATATCCAAAAACCTACTTTTCAACAAAAACAGCTTGAGTGAAATTAGGAGCGTGGCACCTTTTTGGATGATGGCGTCACCGTGCATCAGTGCTAATCTCGTTCATGCTGTTAAATTTGTACTTTTTCTAATTGATAGGGTGCCAAAAACATGTTTACGTCAATGTCATGACAGACACAACAGTTCATATATTATATTAAAGCCATTAGGCTATAGATGGTCGTTTCTCTCTTCCCCACTGTACTGACAGGTCCTTGACAATGAATTCCGTAAGGAAAGAGAGATTTAAGTTCAGGAAGGAGAAAAACGGAAAAATTAGCTGGGAAGCAACTCTGACTAGGAACCTTGAAAATATCTAATTATGTTAGAAGGCCCAGGCTCGGTGGGGATCTAAGGGGCCTACATATGTTTCACGGGTCTTGGATCACTCGTTCATAAAGTTCGTTTCTTCGGGTACGGACCAAGATACACAAACCATGACGCCTCTCAGGGCTTCAAAAATAGGCCATCCAGTGTACAGCTAGATAGCTAGTCGTGTCAGGACCCTTCGCTTTTTACAGATCACAAAAGGAAGGTCGTGACAAGGCTAGTCTAGGTCACCGCACGCGCGGAGGCCTAGTATTGACATGGTGACCGCGTGGCGCATCCTGACCCATTCCATTTGTGTACAATACGCAATTACAAACAAAATGTAAAGCTTATTTGTATTGACTTGGTCCGAGTTGTACTGAGTAATATCAGCGATGACAGAATTTTTATAAATTTTCAAGTGTACCTTAATATCATATCGATCCAGGACCATAACCTACTTTTTTCAGATTATTCTCAACAAGCGTTTCTAAAATCGTCTCTGTATCTCAACCGGTCAATAGAATCATCACGGTAAAATGGTCGGATGGTAAGTAAGAAAACTTTGATTTATTCAACAGCCAAATGAGCTCGACTTTCCCTTCATCAGCCTCCAGAACACCAACTTTGTTGTTCCATAGCTTGTACCTATGGTGATAAAGATGTGCTGATGTGAAAAAGTCATAAAAATGAGAAAAGGCTTTTCCCAATAGATTGCTTTTCCAGGTATTCAAGGGAAATTCCCGCTGACATGGCTGCGAGACTGTTCACCGGATCCAGCCACGTACACGATAAGCCCCGCAATGGTTGCAAGGTAATGCTCGGGTTATATGATGATAACCTCGGGTTTCTTGAATCTTCGGTGTCGTGGAAGAAATTCCTGGAAGTTCTTGAACCAAGGCGAATCCTTGGGCTTCATACTTCATGGGATTCCTGTCAAGCTAAAGCTACTTCCCAGTATCGTTTGGTATTGACATGCGAAAGTAGAACAATCAAAAATTGAAAAATTGGAATTCAAAAAGAAATCAAATGGAAGTTAATCGTTCCAGGAACCTGAGAATGAATGAGTTCGACGTAGAGCAGAATCCGAAATCTATTCGAATTGAGAATGATCAACTCGTGATCGATTGGGAGGGAACACAATCCAGGTATGGTTAGGGAGAAACTTTAAATTGATTTGATATACCTTCTTTATTTTATCGTTTTGCCTAATGACCTTTATAGAGGTAGTACAAACTTTTGAGCAGGTAGGAATCAGAAGTGTGTAAGGTAGTACCGAAAATCTCAGAGACGGGGTATCGACCAAATCCTATTTCACTTATTTTCCCTTTTATGCCGGCACTCACACTT